CAAACATTTTAAAACTAATGAAAGTAATTTTGATAGACATTGACTATTAAGGCATTTTTGAACTTACTCTTCTACCATTTAATCTTTTAAATCTACAACAGTTCCCTTTCAAGCATTTTCAAACTAAACTAAACTTTTTATATTGCAACTATCAGCTATAGAGGAGCCACAGTTCAAGAATGTGAGAAACATAATGACAGTCATAATGGCTGGAGACGGCTTGAGTGGGTAATGAAGAAAAACTTTAATATAAGTTTAACATAACAGCAAATGTACAACGTTTCGACAAGGTTTTGTCATCATCAGGTACAAGATGATGATGACAAAACCTTGTCGAAACGTTGGGTTCCTCGTCATCGAATAATGACAGTCAGTCAGTATGACAGATTTATGTATTTATTTTTAAACATGCAAGAGACTTGTTATCCTATTATCATATTATTCTTCTAAATACAAACCTTTCAATGTGTTCAAGACTACCTCAGTCAAAAACACTAAATTATACATGTAGACATTTACATATTCACCACTGCCTGTGTCAACTTCTATATAATTGATTTAAACCAGACTAACAACAGCAGAAATAGCACAGATATTTAGGTCATCTCTCACTTAAAAAAAAAATTACAAATTTCCTGTAGTACAATATAATAAGGAATACTTTTAATTTATATGGTGCTTTTTTTAAATCATCAAACAATCTGACTATACCACGACAATACAAGTTTCATACCAAACAAGTATTCTCTTTCATCTACAAAGAGCTGCTAGAAACAAAGAAAATGTCATTACATCTTAAATTTAGTGCATGTAAAATAGCTTCATTCATTTCTGTTCAAACTTCATGGTCCCACAAATTAATACATCCAGAAGAATATTGTACTAGTGTAGGTTTCTTTGTATATATATTTTAAATTATATAAGGGTAACGACATACAGATGACAGATTTATGGTGCCTACATGTAATTTTACACTTTCTAAATTATGTTGCTCTAACACACAGAAGAAAGTGCATTACAAAAACAATATTGTAAGATGCTTTTCAAAATATTAGGCATTAAGTGCTTAATTCTTAACCATCTGACAATTATCCACTGTACATATTTTTGTTGGGATTTTTTTAAAAAAGAGAAATACTACATAAAAGTCATTGGCTAATATAACGAGTAGCTAACTTGAGTTATTTTCATGATAATACAATCTCCTGATATATAACACTGCCCTTTTCACAACTATGGACATAAGACAGCTACTCACAGTGCTTTAGTACTAAATTACAGCAATTTTAATGGGCTACTATTATCTGAGAAACATTCTCTCATATCATTTGTTATCTACATATATAAAAAAAACAATTAGATTATTCAGTGCACATGGCTGTTACCACTAATCTGAGAAAACTACTTATATTTTCCTGGTTTATTTACGGTAACATTTTTCAAATATAGTTTTTCATATCAGTTAAACTGTTTAGATTTTGAGGCCACATAAAAATAGAATTCTTAGTTGCATTTGTATTTTTCAAAATAATGTACAATTTTTTAAACTCAATTTTGCTCATGAAACAGTTAATGTTATCATTTTACTGAGATGAAAAGAAGCAACACTCTTAGAATATCTATCCAGCAGGAAACAGAGAGAAAAAGGAAGAAAGTTTGAACTGTTTATAAGTGCATCCTAAGAAGCCTTTTTTTAATGTGACATTTGAACAATAATCTTTTTCTGATGTACCTAGAGTGCCATGTAAATACTGCAACAATTACAACTCTTCAGTTTAGCCTTTACTACCACCAGTCTGATAACCTACAGATGCACTTATCATTACTACCATCAGTTAACCTCTGCAAAGCTATGCAGCTTTAGGATAATAATGCTTGTGCATACATCAGGACGATGTGAAATCACAGGAAACAGAATACAAATGCTTTTCTTCATAACAGTAATTAATATATTACAAATTATTATAAAATTGAATATAAAGTGAATAGACACCTGTGCATTATTTATTAGCAATGATTTCTTTACACTCATGACTTTACTGGACAAACAGAAAATACAAAGTTCACACTGAACTCTGATTCAAAAGATGTGTGTTTAAGGGTAACAGACTTTTTTTTAAACATATATAAACAAGAACTTTTGCATAATTTAGTATGTACCATTGAACTGACAGGTTCATTTAAAATCAAGAACTTTCAGAACATTTGGGTAATAGCTATGTATGTATAGTGGTCCTGAGAATAAAGGAGCCATTGTTAGTAAACAAGAATTTGTAGACGTATCTGCTTTCTTAATGTATGATCAACTTTAAATTATATAGTTTACTGAATGAATTTGAAGTGGAAAAAATTTCATTTGTTCTTTGAAAAGAAGAAAAATCAATTATTAATAACAAGAAAATTGCTTGAACCCAGTCACAGTGTGAATCTCAAATCATTTTTTAAATGTTGAATTAACACAAAATGTAGCATTTGTTTGACTGACTGCAATATATTTTTTAACATTTAAACTATATGCAGTTTAGGTATTACTCTCTGATCCAATGTCAATTCCTAAGCGTGTAGCAACTCGACCTTGAGCCTCTGCTGCATCTCTGAGAGAGAAGAGATGAGCCAGTTCTGTTTCAGTCTGAGCCAATGCTATTGCTTTATCAAAAAGCTCCAAACCTTTCTGTAGATGACCCCTAAAAAGAGAAAAAGATCTAAAGATGTACCAGTATATTGCCATGTAAGAAAAACAATTTTCAGGCCTGAAACACCTTTAAAAGGTGCTGTCAGGTTAACATTCTTACCATATCTTATTGCCCAATATAAATACAGGTGTTAAAACTATTTAACTCAAGGATGTGGTAGAAATGAGCATGAGCCCATGATCAAATGGTAGCATCTAGCAAACAATTTTGTACTATGGTTTCCCCTACACTATTTTATTTTCTTTCAAACACGAGTAAGACCACTAAAAAGCAGAGTTTAAGTTGATGAAACCTACTCTTCAAAATAACAAGAGTTTTAATTCACAGATGGATGATAGTTTTAATGATTGGTTGGAAATCTTTTAATTTTCTTGTAACAATCAGAGGTCAAAAAAGAATTAATACTTTTTATGTTTGTATATTTCATACAAATATTAAAAAACCTACAACAGATGTTCTTCAGATATTCAATCTGCTTCTTAAAACATAAGAAATTGTCATCAAACATATAAAAGTTCTTCTGCTTTTAAATATAATTTACCATCTAAAATATTTTTTGTTTGATTTTAATGTATAACCCTTTACTCACTACTAATAACCTAAAATACTTTATTAATTGTGATGGAATATCACATTATCTAAGCACCTGAAGCATTTTAGGTTATCAGTGGTGAATAATGGGCTTTATATCAAACAAACTGCATACATTCCACTACTATATCAGGTTTGTTTACTTTGTTATTCCATTCAGCAATGATGAGCTGTGAATTCAACAAAACTAGACTGCTACACCAGAAGTTGAATTAAAAACAGATTAGACATCCATGTCATCTTTTCTTCACTGAAGTTTATGTTTGTTGAAGATAATGGCCTCACAAATATTTAAATTACTTGTAAAATCATTTCTTAGTAACTTTAAATCTATAACTAAACCTGAACTTCTAGCAACAATATAGTATTTGGAGAGAATAGTGTACAATCTTACAACATTTTATATCAATCAATATTGTTGCATACACACACACCTAGTGGAAAGAAGCTAATTTGGGTAGTTTTTCTAGGATTTTATCAAAAAAATTGATCTCCTATACACATTTATTATAATAAATATATTTTCAATGACGGATAAATAAAATTTTCAGCTAATAATTATTCCTTGATTTTCATGACATGCTGTTTTCTTTCTCTTGTTTATATTTACTAATAATGACAAAATTCATTCTGATTATACACAAAGATCTTATGTAAGATTTACTATGTTGTCATTTTTCTGTTTTGCTAAACCTTTTGTTGATTGTAGTTATGACACAGGCTTAAGAGTCTTAAAATATAGGCTAAAATCTACACCACTACTTTTATTGCTTAATGATAAACAAAAAAATTGTTGTAGGTATTTTATTTAAAAAGGAGTAACCAACCATGTTAAGGTTATGTAAACATACTGGAAACATTTTTTTCTTACCCTGAACAAACTTCTGTTTACTATTATAGACCATATTGAGCAAAGTAGTCAAAATAAAATTATAGTAACTTTGAATTTATGGCTCCAATAACAGTAGGGTGGCACTGAAGGGATTGTTTTTGTATGGATATGTACAATCTAAAGCTAGTAAGACACAAGCACATCTTTAATTATTCCATTTTAAACAGACTATGTGACAAGTTTTAAATACCTTGTGATCACAGCTGAGGTGTACATACCATATTAGCTCTAGCATTTGGAACAATGTTTACATATTCATAAGCATCACACATCAAAATGAGATATTTACTTTATTGAAATTGATTATTTAGTAAGTAAGCCAAATATATGCAAACTGTAGATATTCACAGTACCTCTGAACTTGAATGGACCCCAAAGTTTCATATGCAAACTGACATTTGGTATCCATTTCTATGGCTTTCTTTAGGTATCCTAGAGCTGAGTCAACATCCTGTTTCCACTGAAGGTAAAGGATACTAAAAAAAGGAATTTAATTTAAACACTCTGGACACAACTTCTAAAAACTAAAGCTACTACAATATGTATGAACTGAAATGTAGATAACTAAAAAAAAAATCTAGTTTACTATCTTGACTGTGTTCAACTTTTTTATAATTTATGAAAGAAACTGATTACAGGGATAGCAGCAGAGAGAAGTTTAACTGACTGAAAACACTCGGGGAGAAAATATAGAAGAGATGAGTGATGCAGGTAACAATAAGGGTTTCAAGAGGTCTATGCTCCTTAGAAGCTGAACAGCTTTAACACAGCCATTATCTGGAGCCTTTTGTTCAGAGAACTGTGTTGTTAAAAAATCATATACAGCAACTAAGTTATTCATGAAGCAATACTTTGGCTCATGATATGTAATAAACAGAATTGAAACTCAAGATCTCAGGCTTCCAGTATTCTGCATTCAAATGGGAAAAAAAAATATCACCAATTTCTTGTAATAATTTTAGGCACTACTGAAATAATGAAATTATGAAGTAGATTTATATTAAAATACTATTAGATCTAGTCTAGTATGACTTTTAGGTTAGGTTGTATTACTGGCTTACTGAGCATGCAGCCTCCACAGTACCTAACTTCATCATGCTTACAATGACATTCTTGTTAATGTTAGTTTTAGACTGTTTAGTTTTACAACTTAAAACTAAGTTATGTTGTTATAGGCTAAGTCACTCACAAGTTTACACCTATTAGAGACAGAAATAAATTGCATATAGATCTAGATCGAGTTTGATTATTTTCATGAATGCGTACAGCAATTACTTTTAACAGACCATCACAAAATTGGCATGTGAATTGTGCATAAGACACTTATGAAAACCTCGCATGTTCAACAACAACACATGTCTGCCATAATGTAATGTATACCTCACTTCGGAAACTAATGAATGTTTCAAAGTAAGCATACATTTGTAGTAGCCATTCATCCAATGGTTTTGGGTACTGACATTAAGAAGTCAGATTTTTTATCTTACCAATAAAAAAATTTTCAACTGTCAGAAATCCGTCCTGAGACGGAACTCTGCCTTCCCTGTGATTAAAAGAAAGAAGAAGACTGTTTAAAGAACTATTTTAATGAAAGAATCTCTTAAGAGCTGTTTAGGTTAGTTCAACTTACCTATGGTTACACACTGCATAGTGTTGTGTCTTACTGATAGTTTAATAGTATGTTGTAGAATTACATGAACTTCCTTACTTGACAGAGTACATTATTAAAAAATGTGGCAGAATGTAAATAACTAACATGAATCGGAATAACTTTTTTTATTTCCTTATGAATGCATACAAATCTCAAAGCATCTGATGAAAAAATTTGTTTTTACAACTCGTGAAATAATCCTAAGTTCAGAATGACTATTAATAACAAGAAAATCTTATTTAATTACTTTGTATTGAACTATTTAAGAATGTTTTTTTCACTTCTTGCTCATTTCATTTTTACTACTGATGCAGGAAGGTCTATCAGTAAAAATCAAGTTATTGTGATTCTTTATTGTGGTTTATCTTTATTCTACATGTTTTCAAAGTGTCATGAATATTCTCATACTCATAAAATCTATTATCATTTACAAATCAGTTTGAAAAAATGTATAATGGACATTAAACTTGTTTCAAATATAAAAACATTAAAAAATATACAAAATGTGTATCAATGTCCACTATAGTCAAACTTATGTTCAAGTACCAAGCTAAACAACCTCAGTCAATGACAAAGAACATGGATCAAAATAAAACATTCCCAAGGAATTTAACTTTCCTTGAAGATTTTTATCTTTTTAGTTGGCTTTCCCAATTGGGAATGTATGGTCCATCCATATTCCTTCAGTTATGACCAATGAAAGTGAACATATTGCAGAGATTAAATATAAAAACAATTCATGAGGAAATGCAACTTTACACAATGGAATGTAATCTTCCTGATAACTTTCTCTCGAGTGAATGTAATTTTATTTCATTATTTTCTATCCCTATAAAAGATTATGGCCTTTTTGGAGAAAGAAAAACTACTTTGAAAATTTATGCAAGGGCTATCAGTGCTAGCCATCTGTAATTTTGAACTGACAGACTAGAAGGAAGGTAGCTAGTAAACAGCAACAACCATTACTCTTGTAATGCATCCAAAACCCCAAAATGCAGAGAGCATTTTTGCTACAAAGGGACACAAACCATGGACAATCTGATTCACAGTCCAGACAAAAATGAATGTGAAGTTTTAAAATATACAAGATATACAACTGAAATGAAAATAATTCTGAATTTTTATCTAAACATTTACAAAAAAAATAAACAGACTAAAACTAGATTATACAGAATGAAACACTTTTTTTTTTCCAGAGATTGGATAAAATGCCAACTGGATTTCATATAAGGTTCCAAAATTGTAAACATAAGTTTAAGTTGAAAAGTTGCTGCTAAAGGTTGAGTTTGAAATTTTTTATCTTTCCGTCTAAACATAATTCTTGCAATCAAAATTCTCAATTTTTTTCAGGTATCTTTAAAATCACTTTACGGACAAGCACAGAACTCAACTATCAAATGCACTACCACTAATTTAAAAGATAAAAAAATCATACCAGGTACCTGGTAGCATGTATGTGTTTAATGTGACATACAAGGGAGAATTAGTCGAACTTAAACTACCATAGTGTTAGAAAATAGTAGACTACACGTATTATTAAGAAAACAGGTTTTATGGCTTAGTATCTGAAATTGGAATTTTACCATTATATGTAATATAAACTTATAAAATTGAAAACAGTTGAATAAATAAACGCACCCTCTGTGTACCCATACATTTGGGTCAGTTGGGTCAATTTCTCCAGCTTTCAGAAAAAACTCTTCAGCTTTCTCAAATTCTTGTCTTTCCAGTAACACCTAATTAATGAAATAAAAACAAGGCATCAATACGTTTGGTTGAAAACAAGTACACGCATCAGCTGTAACAAAATTTCCAGTTGGGAACAACTGATCTAGAATACTATTTTTTTGTTTTGTATAACCTTTTAAACTAATGATAGGCAGTCACATTGAATCATGAAACCAATGTGTCTGTCATGGGAAATACGGGGATGTGAAAAATCTGAATATTCATGGGAATTTACATTGCATTAAAAAATATAAAATATTCATGTAAAGATTTTGTGAAGAAAGAGTCAAATTTTGGGCAAATTCACAACTCAACTTAGCCATTGGTCAGGCCACAACCAAGTAGCCGAGGTTCCACTGCTTGGGGTTGGAGTTATAGGACTATGGCCCCTAAATCCCATGTTGGTGGCTAAGGCATTTGGATCACAATATATATGTGAGTGGATCCTAACCTGTAGCTATAGAGTGATGCATTCTGAGCGATCGGAATTGCAACAAGAAGGTAAGCAACACTGAAGTAGACAAACACTTTCCTCAACCTGTAGAAGTCTGAAAGGTAACAGACACCCCAATCTCAGAACGATTGGATCCTGTATGCCATACACATCATGAGGAAACAGAACTCATCCAGTCTGGAATTATGAACGTTCATCTTCACTCCCCAACCATGTGGTGAAGGTAAATTCTACTTGACCCCGGAATTATAGGGAAGATGTGGAACAAACTGTGCTCAATCAAGGACTCAGGATGGAATTGCTCTGTGTACGGAATTACGAGGAGACAATGAACTCTTTTTCCATTGAACAATGTACTGAATCAATATTGATCAAAAAGAAGGGCCACGCTCAACCTAACTGGATAGCTTATCATTAAATCTGATCTTGTATTATGAGAAGGCAGGGATGGACAGGATCCCCTTATGCTTTACTCATGATAGTCCATGAATGGCAGTCCAGCATAGTACAGTAATACCATCCAGTCTGCCTCTAGATGGTCTTATGGAACACCTCAATTCTACAGAGCCTGTTGCAACCCAGATATTTAAAGTATATTGTGTTAGTGGTTGCTAGTATAGATTTGGTCTGATAAAAGCACACCTGATTGGGATCCTGTGAAGAAAAGGTAAGGAACCCTGGAAAGGAAAGAAGAGACGAGATACTCATCTAGCAGATGTGGTTAATATAGCTACAGGGGTAGTCGAAAACCCTCAGGGGAAGATACTGCCAGATCATCCAAGTAATGTGAGAAAAAAGTATTGGGGAAGGCTCACATACCAGCCCACACAATGTCCCCCAGCAGGCAATTCAACTGGGCCACTAAATATAAAAATGTGACAAATCAAATGAGATGTGACTTGCAGAAGTCTCCTCACCTCCAAAGAGAGCCCAGAATAAGCAATATAGATCAATTTTTCTGCCCACCCCATCCCATCGAGGTAACTGGGGATAAATCCCAGGAAACTGAAGGGTCACAAGGAATAAAAAGCCATGTCTAGCACCTCTAAAAGCTTTAGTGCAGGGAACACAACACTTCAAGGCCCTTACTGGACATGAAAAATGCTTGGAATCCATGGAGATGAGAAATAGTGGCCAGATGAATTGTTGAAAAGGATTTATCCCCTTCCCAGGCTGCCAGTGTCTTAAGTAAGAAGGACATAGGTAGAATGATAAAGCATCCATTGCACATGCAGCACAAACAACTCTGGCTGGAGACATCCATAGGTCAGCAACAACAAAAAACAAATCTTAAGAGAAAGGTGATACATGGTACATGAGGCTATGGGCTCAAATGGACGTTGAGAAAGAGATTTAACATCACCTTTATATCCCTATTAGGTAACTGAAATGGTCTTGAGGAGAACGAAGAGCACTGGGGACTCGAAGAAATTCCATCTCCTCGAGTATCTAATGGTAGCTGATAAGGTTTTCTTACACAGGGCGATTGGAGGATGGGAAATCTTTGTCAAAGAGCCAGGTCAAAAACTGAGCTATGGTTGACATGTCTGAACAAAATGGGTTCAACCTCTTCACAAAACACCATTGTCGATATGTGTGCCATTTCTGTTGATAAATGTCCATCATGGGATGACATAGAGACAGGTATACGGCACCCTTAGAAGTTAAACCTTAATGCCATGCGAAGGACTGCATAACCTCCGCACATGAAACTTGAGCTTCAAGATAGATGGGTGTAAGAAGTTGGATCATGGCTGCCTCAACAGAGATGGCCAAAGAGGAAGTGGAAGAGGTGGACACTCCTGAAGGTATCACAACAGTAAAACCAGGGATAAGCTGGCCAATCCGGTGCTACTAACAGAATGCAAGAAGAGGTTGAACAATTCATTGCTAGGACTCTGAATAACAGACGAATCGGTGGGTAGGCATACAGGTGCAATCCAGTCCAGTCCTAACTGAATGCATCTTTTGCCAATGCCTGAGGGTGAGGTACCAAAGACCGAAATGTTGGTAGTTGAGTGTTCCAATGAGTGGCAAACACATCAGTATGTTTTGGAATTTTTTAACCTATTTACAGCTCAGTTAGAAAGTCAGTTAAATTACAGTAGTTTTGGGACATCCTATTCTACTGCATGATATATTTTTAGTATTCTAGAGTGAATATTTAAAAGGCGCATTAATTTTTGTTTGGGAAAAGAACTTATAGAAAAAAAAATGAGGCTCGGCTGATCTACAACAATTTCCTAATTTATTCTTGCTGTGATTTATTGCTTTTGATGGACGAATAAACTACTTCGGTGGTACAAAACAGGCAATAAAACCATACTTAAAAGAAAACACATGTGAAAAGGTTAACAGCACAAATTCTGAATATAATTAGATGAAAGATATGATGACAAATTATGCAATCAACTTTTTGTTTCACTGTACATTATTGATTTTACATTTAGTGTTGGGGCAGAGTAAATCACCATTTACTCAGATTGGGTCAATAACAGCCTTGTAAATTCACAGACAAATCTTTAGTATAAATACGTCATTAAAAAATCTGATTTTTTGTGTAAAATAGACACATAATGTTCACGAAAAGCTTGCCTAGTTTCACGAAGATACAGTAAGTAAATTCAAAATTACATTACATATATATATATATACATCTTCAACATTTAAAAAATCCAGAGTTACATTAATACAAATCCCTTTAATATGCAACTATTGAGATCACAGACATGATAAGTTCGAATGAAAACCTAGAACATTGTTCCCAAAGGTTGTGGCATGACATACTAGTGTTATAAGTGAACTGATAGTACAAAACAAAAAAAAATTGTACTTTTCTATAACCATTTCAAAAATATAAACAGGTATTATAAAATATATTAGAATAGCAATCGTATCATGATTACCAAGTAAAAATACATGCCATTTGATTTACCACTGCCCTGCTTTATAGGTTTGTGTGTGTGTGTGTGTGTGTGTGTGTGTTATTTATTCTACTAATTTTACTTAGAACGACTAAATTAAGTTAGGTGGTGTCGTCCGTGAACAAAAGTAAATTAGTTGGTTTAGGGAAAAGTAAAAACGTGAACT